CATTTTAGCGAGACGACCACCAACATAAGTTGTATAGGCTAAGAACGTATTTGCAGAACTCATGGATGCTATCTGCATTTGTTATCCGCTAAATAACTTTGAATATCTAATAGTGTCTGTACAAAGTGTACCGTCTGCAATATGAAGAACATAATATACTATACTTACCGGTCAATAACTGGCCGAAGAAACTCCCGAAGAGCTTTAGGTTTTTCAAATTTCATTCCTATTTTTTTGCCATCCGCAATTTTAAAGAGTTTTAGTGCCTCAATGTCATACATGTATATGCTCATATCGGCGATTCTTGCTTCCCAACAGTTTACGTGAACCGTGATGGCGTTTCCGATTCGTCCACCCCTGTCTGGACGCTTTGGCAGGGACTTGCCAGCCGCTAAAACTGGTCCGGTTACTTCGACTGTCAGTCTACAAAATGAGGAAAATACGTCAGAATTACATTTCAACCTCCATTATTAGCTGTTTTTAAATTTCCCTGTCATTTAAAATGAGATGAAATCCGTACTAAGGAAATTTAGCAAATTATTGAAACAGTGTAAGGCGATTCAGATAAAACTTCTAGTCAGTGCCATAGAAACGTATTTTATGCTTCTGGGAAGAAATGCTACCTGAGTAAACTGACAATAGGAGCGTCCAGACGATAAAATATAACTGTCACTATTACTGTGAATACTTCAGATGGAAACTTCAACGGTGTCCTGAAATTAGTTGCAAAAACATGTTGCATAATCCAAACTCATTAAAAGTGTCAAGCAGAAATATCAGTGCACCTAAAAATAACTGCATCGGAGCATATGACATAGCTTCCAAGCTCCAGAGGCACCTTTTATGTCGCATGATTTAAATTGTATTTTTTGAATTCCTTTTTAGGAACTGTTTTTTCTGCTGAAAGATCCTGTCTAGGTCATGCACAATTTTTCTCGGAAACTTTTCGGAATTCCGTCGCTTCTATTTTGTTCGTTTACTGCGGTTTAAACATAATATAACCGGCAACAGTAGCTTATGTAGCCCCACTCATTTATCCTTACAACCTGCATGTT